ACCTGTATGGCCTAAAAGCCCATGAAACCTGAAGTCACATAAACCGACAAATTTTAACTAATATTTTCATATTATAATTTTGTAATTTAAATTTTAACCTTAAGGATATGGGATTGGACCTAACATCCGTAGGAAAAAATACTCCTCATATTCTAAACTTAATTTCATGCGCACAACTCAAACTTGTACTGGCAACATGTATGCCATAAAACCGGATAGATCCTCATGACTTAAAGTCAGTTGAAAAAACTATTTTTTTTTTTTTTTTTTTTGTAGAAATTTAATATTTAACCCATAAGGATGCGTTTCAGGACCCAACATCCTTGGACGAAAATACTCCCAAAAGACTGTTCTTTATTTTCTACTCACACATCAAACATGTACGTGCAACATGTATGCCGTAAAACCTCTTCAAACCTTATAACCAAAAGCATGACATAATTTAATAGAAATGTTGTCATTTTCGTGACTGATTTTCGACCTTAAGGATACGAGTTGGAAAATAGGTTCCATTGGGAAAAATATTCCTTAGGATGGCCTATTCTTCGTTCTCATATAAGCAAGATGTATCATGAATATTTATGCCTTAAATCTCGAAGGATTTATAACACATACTTAAAGGGGGTTTTCAATTAAACTCTTTCTGCAACAAATACTTTAAAATTCCGATTATACCAAGAAGGATACGACTGAGGTCAGGACTTCCGTCAAATAAAATACTCCCCAGGACGTGTACTTCATTCCCTTTTCACAACTGAAAGCCATAAAGGCAATTGTTAGGCTTCTAAGTCGCTTTATTTTAGTCTTCTCTATTTTTTCTCAAACAAAAAATCCTTGGCATTTTCGGTTTTTGACCGCCCTCCACCAAATCTATGTCAAGGTAATTAGCTGAACTTCAGCATAATATTGGTAATGCATTACCAATTGTTAATAATGTTGGCCATAAACTAAAACTTCAGCGAAAAAAACCGGACGTTTGGCTCTAACTGAGATTTTTTTCTTACGTAAATGAGAGGGAGAGGGGGCAGCATTGCAGCTAATTTTTTTCCTTTATTATTGTTCCTACTTTTTGTGTTACTTTATAATTAAACGCAATTATTGAACTGTAAGCTAGCTGTAGCCGGCAGCTGCAAAAGGCAACAACAACATCAATGTCGTTTCATAATAAGCAAAACGCCCGCCGCCTTAGCTTTTGCAAAAAAACTAAAAAACGAAGCATTGTTATTGTGTGGCATTCAGAGAGAAACTGTAAGGGATATGCAAAACACACATTAAAAGGCCAACTACAACAACAACAGCAACAAATGCCAAGCTGAAAGAAACAATGAAAACATTTTGAGAATTTATGTGTTTTAGCCTTAAAACTTAAAAATGAACAGCCAACAAACAAACACTCAAGTCAAGCCGGGCCGGGCCGAGCCAGTCAGCCAGCTACAATAATCATCCATCCATTCGAGAACAAAAGCATTGAAATGTTTCAAGGCTAAAAGGGGGAGAGGGGGAATTTGGCATTACGTGAAGTACTATACATTGTTTTCTTTAATTTGAATTCATTAAAAAGCTGATTTTTGTTGTTGTTGTTGTTCGGTTTTATTTTCTTTGGCGACGTCGTTGGCAGCAGTGGCGCTGGCCAAAGACCAGCCATAAAAATTGTTGCAATGTTAAATGGAAGGAAAGCAACGTAAGAAAAAAAAAACAAAAGGAACTGGACTGTCAAACTTGACAAATGTTAAGTGAGCGGGGGGAGAGAATTGTTCTAGGGATTTTGTACATGGAAAGCCACCCAAACGGGGACCACCAATCGAAAAAATTGCCTAAAGGGGAAAATACTTAATTTTTGATCTTAAGGATATGAGATAGGTTCTACTATCCGTTGGAGAAAATATTCCACATTGAGTGCTCTTTATTTTATACTGACACATCAAACATATATAGGCAACATATATGTCCAAAAACTTCTTCCAAACTCTTATATCTAACGAAAAGACAACATTTGATAAAAAAAATTATATTTTATTTTCGTGACTAATTTTTGAGCCTAACCATAGGATTTGGAAACTAGGTCCCGTTAGGACCTAGTTTCCTCAAGGGCTGGCCAATCTTTCCTACTCACACATCAAACATATATATTCAACATGTATGCCGTAAAACCTCTTCAAACCGCATAACCCACATAGAAAGACATAACTAACATAACATAAATATTTTTATTTTATTTTCCTGACTAATGTTTGCCTTAAGGATACTATTTGGAACATAGGGTCCTTTGGGAAAAATTATCCCCAAGGGCTGGCCAATGTTTCCTATTCAAACATCAAACATGTATTGGCAACATATATGCCGTAAAAACCTCTTAAACCTCAAAGGCAAGACCCAATTTGATGAAAATATTTTTCTTTTATTTTCGTCACTAATTTTCGCTTCAAGGATACGATTTGGAATATAAGTCGCTTTGGTAAAAATGTTCCTTAAGGTGTGGCCTATTTTGCATACTCACACATCAAACATGTTTATACAACATGTGTGCCTTAAAATCGCCTCATACCTTATGACAAAGGGTTGACACACTTTTAAGGAAAATTTCTATTTTATTGTCCTAACTAATTTTTCGCCTCAAGTCTGCGATCTGGAAAATAGGTTCCTTTAGGAAAAATATTCCTCAAGGGCTGCCCTATTTTCCCTACTCACACATCAAACATGTATTGGCAACATGTATGCCACCAAAACCTCTTCAAACCTCATGACCAAAGGAAACCTTGTGATGTAAATAAGGCTATTTTTGTAACTAATTTTTGGCTCCAAGCATAGGAATTGGAAAATAGTTACCTTTGGGAAAAATTATCCTGAAGGACTGCCCAATATTTCACTCTCACAAAGGAAGGGTGTATCACGTATATTAATGCCTCAAATCCGGGTGAAATATCAAGCAAAATTAACCACCAATGGAAAATTGCCTTGCGAGCAAATATTTTTCTCTTAATGAGTTTCAATATTTTTTTTTCGTATAAAAGAAGTGTCCCCAAAAATCAAGAATTATTGATTTTTAATATCATCAGATATGGTGCCTTAATTTAATTAACCCCAAACCGAAAAAAAATATTCACTGAATATTTTTTTATTTTATTTTTTAATTTGTTGAATATTTTGTCAACACTTTTGATAACAAGGCAACGACAAAGCCAGGGAATGATCATTTGGCAGCTGAGATGCCTGCTAAGGTTAATTTGAGGGGCTCCAAGAGCATCGTCACTCACGTAAGACCCACTAACGAATGAAGAGGAACAACAACAAATCAAAAAGAACCAAACAAAAAAATTGTCAACAGTCTTTCAATGTCCAGCTGTGAATTTCTTGGGAATTCCCTCATAAAAGACATGATCCAAGTATCAAAATACACTACAACAACAACTAAAACCCACAATCATATATCCATGACTTTTCGACCAGAGCCATAAACATGCAGTCAGCAGTAGATGATGTTCACGATGAAGGTGGTTTGGGGCCAAGGCATAAAAAAAAACAAATAAATGATGTGGATGCCTAGCTAGGCAGACAGCCAGCCAGACAATGATGATGATCCCAAAGAATTTTTTTGGAAGAGAGTAAAAGAAAAAAAAAAACGGAAAAAAATTTTGGGTTCTTCTCTCCAAATGAAGTGAAAAATGAGGGAGGTCATTTTTATAGCTGTTTTATGCTAATCACTGTAAACAAAATCAATGGTTAATAGACCAGATATTACAATAACAAAAACAACAGCAACAAAAATATATAAATTGTTGTATTAACATAATCATGTTCTCTGTCAATGATGTTGTTGCCATCCTAGTTGTCAACAAGAAGCTGTTATCACCACATAAAAATTAACCAAAAACAAAAACTCGTAGCAACCCCTTCGGATTTTCTTCACAAAAACAACAACAAAAAATCGAAAGAAATCCCAAACTGATAATCAGTGGTGGTGTTGGTGACCAACCACATCAGCAGGCGCCACCAGTAACAAAATATGAACATAACCAATTTTGAATAGCATTTAATATGGCTGGACAGACAGATAGACTGTCCGTAATAAAATAAAAATCTCTAGCTAGACATATGTATGGCTGTGTATGTGTGTTTGTATGTTTGTAAGTAAGTAGTTATGCTGAAAAATTAATTCCCACATACTATTTACAACTCAGAAAAAAAACGAACAGACATAACTGGCCAAAGATACGATCTGTACGCCCATGCGCAACATTAACTTGGAGTGGTGTGTTCCAATGTTTGTGGCATGCAGCAGCAGCATCATATTGAAAATAAAAAAAATCATCTAAAATAAAAATTGTCATCATCTTAAAGAGACATTTCCCATCATCTTCTCGTCTCATTATGATTGTCTGTTAAGAATCTGCTTGACTGGCTTTCTGTGACTACTTAGTTCTCTGAACAGTTTTGATTTCAAAAATTTTTTTTAGAGTTCATAAAAAATTAATATTTTTTCTTAGTAATTTTCTGGGAAATATTATGACATTTGAGAATTGTCATGCTGTGTGTGAGGGGAGGGGGGATGTTTTATTAATATTTCTATTTTTTGGGGGAGGAGATTTGGTGACACTCCAACGAATTTTTAAAAATTAAAAATAATTAAAAAAAATAAAACTAAAAACTAAACTAAATAAATGAAAAAATAGTAGAACATGTTTTTAAGTATTGAAAAAAATATTGAAAAATTTTCAATATTAAAAAAAATAATGAACAAAGTAAAAAATGTTATTTATTATTTTTTTTTATTAATATTTTATTTTTGAAAATATTTTATTTTTTGATATCCCCTATTTTTTCAATATATTTTTTTAATACTTAAAAAAATGTTTCTACTTTTTTTTTTATTATTTTTAATTTTTATTATATTTACTATGTTCTATTTTTTAATATTTATTTTTTTTATTTTGAAATTAATTTTTTCTTTGCCTTTTCTATTATTTTTAAAATTAAATATTGAAAAAAATGTCCACACTTACCAGTCTTCGTTTTGGCTTAATTAATGGTCGATTCTGTCCATTCATTTTATAATATAAACCACAGGCATTGCACAAATAATGGCCGGTACCGTCACGTCGCCACAGTGGCGTTGAGGTGGCACCACAGTTGACACATTCACGGCCTTCTGCAATGACAATAACAATGGAAAAAAAGAGAAGGGAACAAATTAAGTAAATTAAACCAAATATGAAATAAAAAAATAATTAAAATATTTATAAAAATATTAAAAATAATTAAATAATTTTTAATTGCATATTTTAATTTCAAATTTTGAAAATATTATTTAAAAATGTTAAATATTAACATTTTTAAAAAAATATTTTCAAAATTTATTATTAAAGTAAATATAATTTTTTTTTTAATTATTAAAAATATTTTTAATTAAATTTAAATTTTTTTAATATTAAATTTTATTTATAAACAATTAAAAAAAAAATTCTATTAAAATTTTCATTATTATTTTTTTAAGATTTTGAATTTATTTCATTTTTTGTTTTTTTACTTTAAAAATTATTTTTTTAATTTTTAAAAATATATATTTTTGAAAATTTTAAAACATTTTTTTAAATATTTTTTTAAATTTTTAATATAGTTAATTTTATTTTTACAACAACAATAACAACACAATAAAGTTTTTGTTTTGATTTCCATAAAATAAACGAAATTTCCATGATTAAGCCCCTCCCCCTTGTACTCACATATCAAACATGTATATTCAACAGATGTGCCATAAAACCTCTTCAAACCTTATGACCAACGACGGCAAGATACATTTTGATGGAAAATGTTCTGTTTTATTTCGTGACTAATTTTTCGCCTCAAGGATACGATATAGAAAATAGGTTCCTTCAGGAAAAATATTCCTCAAGGGCTACCCTATTTTCCCTACTCACACATCAAACATGTATTGGCAACATACATGCCTGAAATACCGCTTCAAACCTCATGACCAAAGGAAACCTTATGAATATACGAAGGAATATACGAAGACAATATCGAAAACCCTGCATAAGGTTCCCTGATTATTTTTTTCGCCTCAAGGATACAATTATACAAGGATACAAACTAGGTGGGGAAAAATGTTTCTCAACATGGGACCTCTAATCCGTACTCACACATCAAACATGTACTATATTCAACAGGTGTGCCATAAAACCTCTTCAAACCATGTGACCAACGAACGGCAAGATACATTTTGATGGGAAATTTTCGATTTTATTTTCGTGACTAATTTTTCTTCTCAAGGATACAATTTGAAAACTAGGTTCCGTTGGGAAAAATGTTCCTTAGGGTGTGGCCAATTTTCCATGCTCACACATCAAACATGTATATGCAGTAGGTGTGCCTTAAAACCGCTTCAAACCTTATGATCTGAGGCAAGACACAATTTGATAAAAAATTTCCATTTTATTTTCGTGACTAATTTTTTGCCTCAAGGATACGATATAGAAAGTGGGTTCCTTTAGGAAAAATATTCCTCAAGGGCTGCTCTATTTTCCCTACTCACACACCATACATGTATTGGCAACATGTATGCCACCAACACCTCTTCAAACCGTATGACCAAAGAAACCTTATGATGGAAATAAGGCTATTTTTGTAACTAATTTTTGACCCTAACAATACGAGTTGGAAAATAATTACCTTTGGCAAAAATGATCCTGAAGGACAGACAAATTTTTCACTCTCACACGGGAGGGGTGTATCATGAATATTTATGTCTCAAATTCGGGGAGAAATGTCAAGAAAAATTGTTGACCAATGGAAAATTGTCTTAAGAGCAAATATTTTTCTCTTAATGAGTTTCAATATTTTTTTTAAATAAAAAAAAATGAATATACGAAGACAATATCGAAACCCTGAATAGGGTTCTTATATAAAAACAAAACTTCGAAGAGACCTCCTATAAGTTCTTTAAAAGGATCATTCTCTAATCTTTTCGGCTTCTGACAAAATAATATTTTTATAGGTCCTATCGGAAAGGCTTTCTGCCAGTATCAGTAATGGACTTATCATGCGTTGTTAACAGATCCATGAAAAAGACCCTTGGAAACCATATTTCCATATTTTTTATAAACCTTAATTTTTCTCTAAAGTATTTTAAAACTATTTTGTGTAACATTTCTATTTTGTATTCCCCACTCCTCTCAAAGATGAATAAGAAGTTCAGTTTCATTTGACATGACAAGGTTAAGGTTAATAGTTCTTCACATCAAGTTCAGACAAGCGTAAATGATGAGCTGAGCTCAAAGCTGAGCTGTCTAATTTTGTTTCAAAAAAAAAACTATTTTTTCAGTTAGCCAAGTTAGTTACATTTTTTTGTTCTACAACTGTTAATGTCTCGGGTAATTACATGACGACGATTTAATGACAAGTGGAGTTGACCAGACAAGAACACATATTTTTTTTTATTTTCAAAAAATTTAAAAACAAATTATTTGCTTGAAGAAAAAAATCTAAAACAGAACACTAATTTTCCACATAATTTTTGGGACGACTTAAAAAAATGTAGGGAACATTTTTAGTATGCCTTATTAAAATGTGAGGTTAGATTTCATAATTATCTGTGGGGCGTTAAGGGCATTTACATTCAATTTACTAAAAATCCATTTTTAATGCATCGTTAGAAAGAACATAAAAATATGACCCTACCCGACCTTTACGAGGCTAGTAATGGAGTTATTAAAATTTTGAGTTACACCTTTTTCAATTTTTTTGTTTAATTCGAAATATTTTTGTCTTCGTATTAATTGAAACTAAAGTGAATGTTTTAGAATTGGAAGGGAGTGCTTGCTGCTATTAAACATAATTGTAAACATAACTTCTAGCAATGCCCGGTTAGTAGGGGTAGGAAGTTGATTTTTTGAGAACTACAACAACTGGTAAAAATGTGTGTTTGTGCTATTATTAATACAAACAAAGGTGGAGAGACACTTGTAATTGCTTGTGTTAGAGGTGAGTGAATGTGTAGGGGTTCACAACAAAGAGTCTCTCTTTGGTTTGTGTGTTTTTTGCTGACTAATGACCATTAAACGCATAATGTGCGTTATATATTGCTGGCTGGCCGAATAGCTGGCCTGTCTTTTTTTTATGGCTCAAATCATAAAAATTATACAACACAGCAAGATATTTACACACACATTAAAATAAAAAAAAACACGACAACAAAAACAAAGAAATAAACGCAATACAAATATTGTACTTTGACAATCCTGGAACTCCACTTATATTTAATTTCTTTTTTATGTGCATTCTGTTTTTGTTATTATTTTTTTGGTAACAATTTACGTTTGTAACAAGGCAGTCTATAACACATACATGTGTATATGATGTTGATTATTACATTTTTAGGGGTTTGAAGGTATTATAAAGCTTTCAACAAAATTAAAGGAGCCAGAATAGAAGGCACATATTGTATTTATTAAGGCAATGATAAGTCACATGTTTGTGTTTTATGTGTATTAATTTTGTGGAAAATTAGTGTCTGAGAGTTTACGATGTGTTGCTATATGCCGTCTATTTGGCATGTGCTGACATATTTTTATGATAATATAAAAAGTAATTTTTTGGAAGATTTCTTAAGAATTGAAATTTTGGGGGAGTAGGAAAAGGATAATTAAATAAATTTTATATATTTATTAAATTAAATTTTCCAAGGGAGGAAGGTTATTATCCTCTACATAAAAATTTTAAATATAACATTTTATTATAAAAAATATGGTTATTTAATAAACATATTTTTTTATTAAAAATGTTTTTTTACATAAAAATATTTTTTATTAAAAAATATATTCTTATAATAACAATACTTTTTTTATAAAAAAAAAATGTTTATATAATTATTATTTTATAAAAAAAAATATTATTTTTTTTTAATAAAAACATATATTTTTTTAATTACAAAACATATATATAAAAATATATTTTTTATAATAATATTTTTTAATTTTTTTGTAAAAAAATATGTAAATAAAACATTTTATTAATAAAAAATTTTTTTAAAAAAAAAATATATATTTTTATTTTAAAAATATATTTTTACTAAAAAAATTTTATTATAAAAATATATTTTTTATAATAATATTTTTTATTTTTTTTTTTTTGTAAAATATGTAAATAAAACATTTTATTAATAAAAAAATATTTTTATTAAAAAAAACAAATTTTTTATAATTAAAAAATTTTTAATAAAAAAAATTATAATAAAAAAATATTTTTTTATTATAAAAATATATTTTTACCAAAAAATTGTATTTTATTTTTTTTTTTTATTTTATTTATTAAAAAAAATATTTTTTATTATAATAAAAATGTTTTGCTACATAATTTTTGTGAGGATAAAGACATTTTTGAATGGTAGAGCCATGAAGTAGATTCTACACCCTTCTTACAAACCTCTTTTCTACAATTTTTCTAATTTTTTTCGTTGGAAAAAATGGACTAGAAAATCTCGCCTTTTGAATTTATTCTGCAGGAAAAAAAATTCACGGGTCCACCCTTCCTCCAACCTCACTTTTGGTTTCAGGAATATATTTTTTTCCTCTCTAATTTCCTTGGGTCACGCTTCATCTTCATCTCCCTCTCAAAATTATAACACTGTCTTTTCTTTCTCATGAAACTTCTATTTTAAATGTCTCTTTTATAAAAAAAATATAATTTCTCTACATTCCAGAGAATCCCTACCCCTCCCCCTCCTCCTACAGAATCTCACATCAAACCTTCCAACAAAAAACCAATTTTTTTAGTGTTTACATTGAAATAGACCTTGGCCAATAAATCAGTTACTCTTTTTTTAATGATGTTTATATGGATATGTATGTCTGTTTGTTGGTATTGTTTTTATGATGTGACTACAAGAACGAAGACAAATAAACAAACAAACATTTATTAGCCTTGTTATGGTTATTCGAAAGGGCTCCAAGCCACATGTCTTATGACCAAAAAACAAAAAATTCAAAAGAAAAAAGAAAAGGCTCAATGGCTAAATGGCTGGTGATGACACAACAAGAATCTGTCGAGATGACCTTTTCTTCTCTACAAAAACAACAACCTACAGACTTTAATAAGCCTTAAATGAGCAAACAATATAGGTTCTTTGAGAGTAAGAGATAGAGAGTGACGGGG